GAGTATTTTTTACATTTCACGGATCTGAGCTGCATGAATCTGGAAACACTGCTTCCTCACATTTAGTCCCTACTATGAGGAGCCCTAACTCTGAGCCAAGCAATAAAAAAGTTCAAAGGGAAGTCATAATTGTGTTGCTTTTCTTTTAGATTATAGACCAATTACCTTGAGTATGAAATTAATTAACATTTGACTATATTGTTGGATTTTTAATCTTGGCCTTGCCCAAAGTACATTCATGTGTTATTGCCACAAATAAACAATCGGACTTGAGTACCCACAGGGGCTTGGCCCGGAGTCTGAACTCAATGGGAGGTGCAGCGTTCGTTTATATAACTTAACACTCTGACAATGTTCTGTTTACTGTGCGCACAACCTTGCATCTTCTGTCACTCACTCTTTATAATGTACTGTGTTTATTTATGATGTTTATGTCCTGTAGACATATACATCTATCCATCTATCCTCAGCCTTGTGTATGAACTGTTCCTATACAAATAAACTTGCATTGTATTACCTTAACCTATACACTTTTTGACCTGTGGAATCTGTTTTTCCAGTGATGCCTTTGAGTTGGAGGTACGGGATGGTTATTAGGCTGAGGATGGACGAGGGATTAGACGTGGGCCACATCGTCGAATGCAGAAGGTGAAAGATTTGTTTTAACTTGTTCACGGGGGGGGGGGTTATCGTCATTTTGTGGAGGGCCGATTAGTTTTCACACGGTTAACATTTTTGTCAATTTAGATAAAACATTTGCTATTTCCTGTATAAGCAGTTATTACAATTATCTTACAAGAAGTGAAGGGAACCATGGAGGCCAAAATATCCCTGTGTTGTTGTTGTTATTTTCTAACCTTTTCACATTTTGGTTTATTATCGGTTAATTCGGTAATCGGCGTTGGAGTGGACAGTATGAGCTTATGCGATTTTGCCGCAGAAAACGCGTTTGGTCTGAACGCAGCTTCACAGCACGGGAACGCGCAGCCTTACGTGGCCATGTACCCAATGCCATACACACGCACAGGACCACTGTGTGCACTGATCACGCACAGGCGTGACCAGTGCACCCAGTAAAAACAGTGCTGCAAGAAACCGTCCGTCTCCCCGTGTCTTCTCCCGAAGCAAAAAAGATGCTAAATTAAAGCTGGGATACCTAACTTTTCCTTTGCACTAACATTTCATGTTATTTGTGGCCAAAAATGAAATGTTGTGAGCAAATAAAACAGAGTTAATGACAGCCATTGGCGGACATGCATTTCAGACTGTTTTCAAATATCCCTCATCCCTGTAACAAACAATAGTTTGTAGAGACAATAATAAAGAGCGTCCACAGCCACACACAGAGAAGAAGAAGAAAGAGGAGGCTTTAGCAGAGGCGGAATATGTTGAGATGAAAAAATAGTGTCTAATACAAAAAGACAGAATGTTAATAATGCCATTTTATGTGGATTTATTGTTATAATAAAAAAACAGTACATATGTACACTTTGTCATCATTTATCCTTCCATTCAAACAAACATTTACAGAAAAAATGGCATCATTTTGCCGATAGTTCGAAATGCGATTATCCATCCATCCATCCATTTTCTACCCTTTAATCCATTTCTGGGTCAGGGGGGTGGCAATCAGAGATGCCACCCAAGTCTCATAGCACCAGCCCCTCACTGACCCTCTGCAGGTGGTGAGTCCACAGGAGGATGGCTGCTCTCTGACTGTGAGCATAGCCTTGATCTTTCAGTTGGGGCTTTGGGCAAAGTGGGGTTAAGTGTCTTGCCCAAGGACACAACGACAGCAGTCATCAGTGGGAGTCAATGGAGAAGGTGTAGAGGTGGGAAATGAACCCACAACCTTCTGGCCTTAAGACCAATGCTCTACCAACTGAGCTACTGTCGCCCGATTAATTACGATTAATTAATTTTTAAGCTGTAATTAACTCAATTAAAAATTTTAATCGTTTGACAGCCCTAACTAAAACATGTAGTGTTTTCCTTCATTGACTTCAACCTCTCTGTTTAGGTCAGGGGTGTCATTCATACGGCCCGCCAAGAGATTTGACACGGCCCGCGGCTCATTTATGTAAAAATATAATAATAATACATTTTAAAAAGCCCCTCCGCGAGGCGCCGCGACGCCGCAGCGCCGCGCTCAGGGGTGAGTCCAGTACTTCTGTAGTGGCTCCACCAGAGCGGTGCTGGAGGAATAACATCTTAAACTACAAGACTCGGCGAAAAATACGGCACTTTGAGCGGAGAATTGAGAAAACAGAAGATAAACATGTCTGGCCCTGAAGACACAGCAGTCTGTTTGTGCCCAGAGCGAGAGGTTAGTTCTGCTGCTGTAAAGGGAAGCTACCTGTGCTAACAACATTAGCATTAGCATCGCAGCCGCACAGTGAGAGAGAGTTTGTTAAAACTCTCACAGGCTGCAGACATGGTATGAGAAACCACTCGCTTTAACCAACATGTTGCCATTGATAAGAGACTGATGTTACTGATGTCACATATTCATTTGTGGTGTTACTGAAACTATCAGAGGAGTTTTGAGCGCTGCTGCTGGTGCTGCTGCTGGTTCTGCTGTTATTGCTGGTGTGTTGGACAGTGTGGACGGGTACCGATGGTAAAAACAGGTGTAGTGACAAAGCTGCAAATGGAGGTGATGATTTTTGGACATTTGACTGTATTTTACACAGAGACACTGCTGCAGTCGTTAAGAATGGATCATGTTATGGAAGTTGTTTTATTCATTTCAAGTAAATCATGGTCAGTTTGATGCTTTCTCTGTGATAATAACATAACCATGGACCTGACCACACTGAAGATGGTTAATGTGATAATAACATAACCATGGACCTTACCACACTGAAGATGGTTAAGCTGAGGTGCTGTGTTAAAGTGCTTTTTTCTGTCTACCTACTTTACCTTTGTGAGCAAGTTTTCTCTGTAATGAGCCTTAAAACAAAGCTAACATACAAATATTAATATACATATTGTGAAATACCATTTTCAATGTAATATTGTAAATACATTACATTATTTGCACTATGGAAAACTCACTGTTACATTTAAGTTTGTAACAGAAAACTGAGTATTAAAGGACAGTGTTTTAAAGGAAGTTTTAAATAAATGTGTTTATGTGCACAAAAAGTTGGACTTTGTACCGTTTTTGGATATTTTTGTAGAGCATCTCCTGGTCCGGCCCACTTGAGATCAGATTAGGTTGTATGTGGCCCCCGGACCAAAATGAGTTTGACACCCCTGGTTTAGGTGTAACTTTTGCTGGGATGAAATTATTCATAATACAATTTAACTTATTTATCTGTGAAGCAGCTGAGGCCCAAAGTGATGTGCACATTCTCCATCACATCCGGGGCAATATCATCAATCGTGTTATCGGGAGTATAGCAAGGACAAAGATACGGAAAGGTACAGTAAATAAGTTCAGTTCAAACTGTGATATGGATAGGCTCAAATTATTGAACGGAATTCATAGCCATCAAATTAAGATACAATCATGCAAACTGACCGTGTGTGTGACGACATCAGATTTGTAGCATGCAAATATAGTCTATATTTCCACTTACCAGTACTCATTTTGAAATCATGATCGAATAATCATGAATCAAACCAGCTAGAAGTCTCGATATTTTTGGCATTAAAAGTGAATGGTGTAAAGACGAATATTATTGTTGCTAATCAACACAAAATATGTATCTTTGAATGTCTGGTAATGTCATTACAGGCCTAAGTCGACCAAGCAGCAATACATCCGCAGCTCTAAGATATTCTGTGATGAGGTTGTCCGTGGAAGGATCATCAGTGGCCAAGAAATCCGCATGAAAAAACTTCTGGGTTTGTTTTTGAAGACGGTCAGGAAAAAGAAGCCATTTAGGCCGTCAGTAGAGTCCAAATATGTGGCTAGAAATCCATTTTCGTTCAAGCGACTTGCGCACTACTTTCTGAGACTGGTTATAGCTTCACTATAGTGTATCTGATCATACTCTAAAAGTTCTTTGTGAAATTTCCTGCGGTTAATTAATCACACATGAAAATCAATTAAAGGTCACTCATTTGTGAAATGCTATTCTTAAATACTTCAGGGTTTTCTGTTGTTTGACCGAGTGTAGGTCAAACAACACTCGGTTGTTTGAGTGTACAAGTGTACCAAATTGGCACACTTGTACAATTTGGCACTGTGCCAAATTGTACTTATAAGTTACTAATCTGTGTGATTTTTTAAAACATTTTGTAGCTAACGAGTTGGGGAACACGAGCATACCCTGTGTGTGGGTGATCAGCAAAGCTGAAAGTCCGCTAACAGTGAAAGAGCAGCCTCTGTGCCCTTTTTTTTCTTTTTTTCGCTAAAGATAAATGCACATTTTTGGATTATTTCTCCAGAATGGATTATACTTTGGGAAATACAAGTGGATTTTCTTTTTCCATGGACATTTACGGAGTGAAAGAGCCATAGGGAGCCGTGAGGAGATCTGATTTATTTATGGAGCACAAGAGAAAAGGTAAAAAGTTTTTTCTGAAGTGATATATTTTGTGCCCATATTATGTGTTATATCGATTGCCGATATCGATTTCAAAGGAAAGTCTGATGTAGTTTACATAAATGTATATAAACGTAGATGAGAAAATAATCTTCAGAAAGCTTTTGGGGTTTGGTGTTCAAAATGCATTTGCTATTGCCAGCAGAGCATTTTAAAAAGAAAAATCGCCCGCGGGCGGGTGGATGTTAAGTGAAACCCAAGAATAGTGTAGCTTCGGCACACTTGGAACCACGGCCGAGGCGGTACCCTAATCCCAACCCCAGTGTAAACGTGACAACGGAAAAGCACCAAACCCGCAGCCTGGAACTTTCCTGGAACACCTCCTCAGATACCTGAGCCACTTCAACTGGCTACTCTTGATGTGGAGAGGCAGCAGCTCTACATCAAGCTCCTTCCCCTATCTCCTAAGCTACCTATAAAAAGAATGTTTGAAAGTGTCTTTACATGAGCCAGTTTGGTCTCGAAGGCCAGAGCTTTCTCCATCTGCACCTGAGCGGACTTTTGAGGAGCTCCGAGCATCACCGCTGTGTCCACCATCAGATTCAACAGAGCGGCTCGATACTGACCACATGAAGACAGAGGAGTTTTGTAAGAACATGAACAGTATAAGTGGAAGATTGTGAGGGGTCATATAAACATTACTCACAGATTTGGCTGCAGTGGTGTTGGTGGTGTAGTCTTCTCTGGACGGTAAAGACAAGGACCCCTGGTCGAGCTGTGAAAATAGAAAAATAAAGTAGAAATACAGCGTGGTGTTGCTCTTGAAATTAAGAGCTGGGGTACCTAACTGTTGCATAAATAGTTCATTATGTTTGTCTCAACAGAGAGTCTTTTAAAATTCACACTCAATTACATCCGAAGTTGCTTCTCCTTCATTCATTTGATTAATGTAGCCCTCGCCAGGAGGAGTTGATGTCGTCAGGCGTTATACAATGATCATTGGGTGTTTCAACCCTGAACTGCAACACCCTCAACATTGGTTGGTCAGCAGTGGTGGCCAAGTGCCCATCAGCTCCCCTTAGCTTCCAGCTAACTCATCTCAAAACATTCAGTCTCTCCCGAACAAGTCAGATGATCTCCTGAGCCGAATCCAGTACCAGCGCGAGGCTCGGGACTGCGCAGTGTACTGCCTCAGCGAGACGTGGCTGCATCCGAATATCCCGGACTCAGCTGTTCAGCCGCCGGGATTCGCCATTTTCCGCTCGGACAGAGAGGAGAGCACGGGGAAATCGAAAGGAAATTCTTATACACAGAGGAACAAACAGCACAAACCTACTTCCCGCACTGTGCAGTGCTGGTCTGAGGAGGCTAACATGAAGCTGCAGGGCTGCTTTGATGCCACAGACTGGTCTGTTTTTAACTCTGAGAATGTTGATGAGTTCTGTGAGGCTGTGACAGGATACACCTACAATTTTGCATTGACTGTTGTGTCCCCTATAAAGTTATCAAAGAACACTCCGGCCAAAAACCTTGGATGAACACTGATGTCAAATTGAGAATTAATGAGCGGACACTGGCGTTTCAATCCGGTGATGAGGGTGCTTACAAGCTGTCCTGCTACGCTGTGGAACGCTCTATAAAAGCTGCTAAGCGTTCCTATGGGGACAGGTTAGAGGGCTTCTTTGGGGAAGAGGACCCTCGACGCATGTGGAAGGGGATCAGTCTTATCACGTCCTGGAAACCAAGTGCAGGGAAAATTGCTGCTGGCCAAACTCTGCCAAACGAGCTCAACGACTTTTACTGCCGCTTTGAATCTGCTGATCCCCTGCCTTTTGTCTTCCCCGAATGTCAGGGTGCCTTCACAGTGACTCAGGATGAAGTCCGGCGGGTCTTGTCCAGGACCACAGCTCGGAAAGCCGCAGGCCCGGACTGCATTCCTCCCCGCGTCCTGAAACTGTGCTCCGAGCAACTTGCCCCTGTTTTAACGGACATCTTTAACTTGTCACTCAGGAGCTGTACGGTGCCGGTGAGCTTTAAAAGGTCCACCATTATTCCAGTTCCTAAGAAGTCTCCAGTGACATGTCTCAATGACTACCGCCCTGTGGCCCTCACGTCTGTTCTTATAAAGACTTTTGAGCGGCTCGTGCTGGACTTCATTAAGAGCCAGATCCCTGTGAGTGTTGACCCGCTCCAGTTTGCTTACAGACAGAACAGGAGTGTGGAGGATGCCATCTCCTTTGCTCTGAACTCTGTCTACACTCACTTGGACAAATCTGTCGCGAGAATGCTGTTCATTGATTATAGCTCTGCTTATAATTGTCTTGTCCCAAGCATATTGGTTGAAAAACTAATGTCCCTTGGTCTGAATGTTGGTTGCTAAAAATGGATTTTTAGCTTTTTAACTGACAGATCTCAGAGAGTAAAAATCAATTACTGTTTTTCTGATGTTGTTTCTGTGAGCACTGGTTCTCCTCAGGGATGTATTTTGAGTCCTCTGCTCTTTACTTTGTACACTCACGATTGTGTGTCCTCCTCTGACTCTTAGGCCGTCTGCTGAGGCAGAAATTGCATTGTTTCGTTCCAAGCTCGGGGCACTAAAATCTGAGCGGATCATATGATAGCTTGTCTAACATACAGAACATAACCAAAGGTTCTCCATTCGAATTCCAGCAGTTATTGTACATTTTGAAATCTTACGCCGGACTGTTTCTCGTGTAAGGAGACGAAAAAGGTTGTAAACCGTCACTGCTCAGCCAATAGGAGACGCGTATTATCAAGCATTTCCGGGAAAATCACTACGCGGTATGTCAACAAACACGGCGTGCGAGGCTTGTGGATCACTACCGTCGTTGTCTGAGGCAGAAATGGATGTTTTGAAATGCATCGTGTACATAGAACCAGCCACAGCTAACCTCTGTGAGAAACTGACGGAAGCTATGGTGGGACACCTGCCGACGATGCGCCCGGGATTGGGACGAGACAAGCGTAGGGAGTCGGGAGTCCGAAATAGTTGGTGTGTGCCTCCCACAATCCACAATCTCTCCCATGACTCGCAGAAAAGGACATCCACACACGTGTTGCCCCTCATCAGTTTGATTTGCAAATGACTCGTCAGGGCAAGAGGGTGCAAGACAAACTCATCCAGGCAGAAACTGAAAGTGCAGGTAAGCCTATGATGTTGATGTTTTCAAAACATATCGCACTAAGTTTCAATTGATTCTGTTTGGTGTTCTTGTGATATACAAGGTTGGGAGGGGCCTACCTACAACCCAACTACATAAATAACAGTACAGCTAAGTCCAAGATTGATAGACCTACTAGCTACTCTAATTACAACTAACTATGACTAGTTTAACCCTGTTTAAGTTTGACACAGGTCAAAAGATATTTCAAAAGTTATGTGATAGAAAAGGATGAGAGAACATGACATCATCATTGTGTGTGTGTGTGTGTGTGTGTGTGCGGAAGCTTCTATCATGGCAAGTTTATGTATAGCACAATTCATACACAAGGCAACTCAAAGTGCTGGACAAAATAAGAAAGCATTAAAATCATAATCACAGTACATTAAAAAGAAAGATGCAATAAATCAATATTTATATCTAAAATATCATCCCCCTTTCAAACCAAGCAGACTTTGTATTTGTTTTCCTGTATGTATACACCTGCAGGCTTGAAATAAATGAAATGAAAATTACATATTCAATACAAATAGGCCTTTTATGAAAGTCTGCTTCGATGTCGGCTCTTCCTAGCACTGTGAAGCAGAACTCACCAAGCGTTGGATTGTTCACCCACTAACAGGGAACTTGAGCTGGGTTTAGACCGTTGTGAGACAGGTTAGTTTTCCTAATGAGGTGCAATAGTAACTCTGCGACCACTGAAACATGGCACTGCTGGCAGGTCATTTATTTAGGCAGAGTAATTATCCATATTATTATTGCACAGCTGTGATGAATGCATACTAGCATTATATTATTATTAGCAGACATTAGCAGATCCATGTGGTGTCTTCATTGACTTAGTCCTCTGTTTAGTTGCGACTTATGATGGGATGAAATATTCTTAACATTTTAACTTGTCATTTCCAGATCTACTCTGAAGCAGCTGAGGCCAAAAGTGATGAGCACATTTTCCATCACATCCGGGACAAAGATTGTGTAGCCATGGAGGTGAAATATCAGTCCTGTTATCGGGAGTACACAGGATTCCTCAGCAAGGAGGAGAAATATACGGAAAGGTAAATAAGTTCAAATCAAAATGTGATATGAATAGGCTCAAATTATTGAAAGGAATTCACAGCCATCTACTGAAGTACAATCATCCAAACGGAGCGTTTGAGGACATCAGATTTGTAGCATACAAATATTGACTACATTCCCACTTACCAGTACTCATTTTGAAATCATGATCATTGTGTATCAAAGAAGTCTGGATATTGTTGGCATCAAGGGTGAATGCAACAACGAATGAAATCCTGGATGGCAGAAAACTTTCTCCATCTTAACCAGGACAAAACTGAGGTTTTAGTCATCGGTCCTGAGGCCCAGAGAGAGAAACTTTTACCAATACTCTAATCACACTCTTTTAATCCATCATCACAAGTGAAAAACCTGGGCGTAATCTTTGACTCTAAGCTGACTTTTATTCCTCACATCAAGAGTATCACAAAAATAGGTTTTTATCATCTAAAGAACATCGCCAGAGTACAATACAATACAATACAATACAATTTATTCTTGTATAGCCCTAGGTCACAACAGAAGTCATCTCAGAGGACTTAACAAAACCATTGAAATCACCAACACAGGTCAGAGAATCAACAGTTAAAACACATGAAGAATATAAAGCACACACAGAAGAAAATGTCCATACATGTTGTAGAATGCTAAAGTGTCCTGATCATCACCAATCCTTTCTGTTGGACACTAACTGTCCAACAAGACCCTCCTGCATCGACAAGGAAAAACTCTTAAAAAACCCAGTGGGAAAAAGTGAGAAACCTTGGAGGAGAACTAGGGAAACCCACAGGGAGGGAGACCCATATGAGAAAGGGATCCGCTCCTCCGGACGGACAGGCTAATGATCTAGGACCTAAGCTAGCTACAGAACGTGGACCAGTGGACGCTGAACGTGGACAGGTCCGGTGCAGGACTGAAGCACTCCCAGGCGGGTCGGGCGGGGCAGTCCGCAGGTGTAGATGGAAGAGGCCAGGCTCAGAGATCCCGTCATCGTACCATGAAACAGACAATGGGACAACGGGTGAATAGCAATGAACAAACTACAGTCAGAATCCTAAAAATGCTAAACAGATAAAGTAGGAAGGAGTAGAGGATAGTGCTCAAGTTACCATACTTCTCCCAGCAAACTGACTCCCTATGCAGCTTGACTAACACTCTGAGGAGTTTAACCTTCTCAGAGTCTTACCTTCCTAGCCATATGCTAAACTAAAGAGGACTGTTTTAAACCTAGCCTTGAATAAAGAATAACATACAGCATAATATATAACATAATATACAACATAACACAATACATTATTGAATAATATATAACATAATATATAACATAATACAGCATATATATATAATATATACACTACATATTATATATTACCTAATTATATGCTAAATTAAAGTAAAGTGCTTTAAGCCTGGCCTTGAATGTGGAGACCGTATCTGCTTCCTTAACATAAATGGGAAGCTGATTCCACAGTAAAGGAGCTTGGTAGCTAAATGCTCTGCCACCAACAGTGACCTTTGAGACCTTAGGGACCAC